CATCGAATAAATACATTTATTGCCTTTATAACTATTTGTCATAACCATCTACTTTTGTTGTAATTGATTTCCTGTGTAGTAGTCTCACCCCTCCTCCACGGAATATAACTGTATAATCGCAAAGTCTCCGGCATTAACAGCCTCTTTCAACTTCCGCTGAGTAGCAGCCATGAGGTACATTTCTTTACACGTGTAATACTCGAGTTTTGTGAAGAATCTAACTAAGAAAAACGTTCTATCTTGAGGTAGACGTTCTTAACACTTTTTAATAAACCGTTAATGAAAAGTCTGAAGACGACTTACGGTGTAATGTTGCTATATGCGTATAATCGCCATGTTGCGGCGTGATATTAGCAATCGTAACGTCTGGGGTCTATTACATTGTACACAGTAAAAGGTTTCTAGCAAACGTTCATCATTATGTGGTTCTTTGTTTTAATGTGCGTTTCTTTTACAATACTATGTTGTATTTTTGTCTATCGGCGGCAAAAGCCCATATGTTGTGTAACGTTAGCCCGGTTAGCAGTGCTCAACATGCTCAAACATGCCCCGTATAGACGACGGCCTGCCTATCCAAAAAACAGGAGCAGATAGAAGGCCATTTGGCCTCATCTTTCCATAATTTGCTAGATTTGAGTAAGATGACCGGTTTATTTTGTTATATGAATATTAGTAAATAAAAAAAATACCCTTGCTACGTGTACTGCGTTAGTCGAAATGAGATTTTTCATAGCACTTGCATATCATTGATCTTTAGTTGATTTTGATTGCTTCCATTGTCATCATTTGTAAGTCGCTTCCAAAGCGTCTGCTAAACGACTAAATATAAATGCAATTAATTGTGTAAACCTATTGCTGTGGCAAGTTCATAGAAAGGAAAGACAACTTGTTAGGCAGTAGTGTGTATTATGTTGCAGTCCATGGATAAATAAACGAGTATTAATTTCAGTTGTTAAATTTATGAAACTAAATTTTGTACTGAATGTCAAAAATTGTGATTGATCTAAAACTGTCCTTTTTTTTTTTTTTTGTCTCCAGCATGCTCAGGCTTCAGAAGAGGTTGGCGTCCAGCGTTTTGCGCTGTGGCAAGAAGAAAGTGTGGCTGGATCCAAATGAAACCAATGAGATTGCCAATGCCAATTCTCGTAAGTAATTAGGATCTCCTTCAGTACTTTTCTCTGCTTTGGTGAGATCTATCCGTTTTTGCCGTGGAGTACTAATTATCTTCCTATAAATCTTTTAGGGCAGCAGATTCGCAAGTTGGTGAAGGATGGGCTGATCATCAAGAAGCCTGTAACCGTTCACTCTCGTGCTCGATGCCGCAAGAATACCCTGGCACGGCGGAAGGGGCGTCATATGGGTGTTGGTGTGTACCAGTTTAATGGCATTTGGTTATTAGTTGCTATTGCCAAGAGAACAGGAATCATGTCAATCCAAAGGATGACTTTATGCAGTCTTGCGAATTAATGGGGAAAAATATAGTTCTGGAATCCAGGGCAGTAAAAAGTGGGCATTCATACTTGAGCTCTTTTCTGGCTGTGTTGTGATTGGCTGTGTTTGCTTGCAGGTAAGAGAAAGGGTACGGCTAATGCTCGTATGCCAGAGAAGCTGTGCTGGATGAGACGTATGCGTATTCTGCGACGACTGAGAACAGGAATCATGTCAATCCAAAGGATGACTTTATGCAGTCTTGCGAATTAATGGGGAAAAATATAGTTCTGGAATCCAGGGCAGTAAAAAGTGGGCATTCATACTTGAGCTCTTTTCTGGCTGTGTTTGCTTGCAGGTAAGAGAAAGGGTACGGCTAATGCTCGTATGCCAGAGAAGCTGTGCTGGATGAGACGTATGCGTATTCTGCGACGACTTCTAAGACGTTACAGAGAGGCCAAGAAGATCGACAGGCACATGTGAGCTCGTGTTTTCATCAAGTTTTGTGCAGTGATACTCCGTAACTGTATAGCAGAATTTTATAACTGATGTTGTCAACACATTGATTTGGCAAGATCCCTTTTTTGTTACTAACAATTTAGTGAACATACCGTCTGAAAGTGTGGATACACAAATAAATGTATAATTCTGTTTCTCTTTCAGGTACCACAGCTTGTATCTGAGGGCGAAGGGTAACGTGTTCAAGAACAAACGTATCTTGATGGAGCACATTCACAAGCTCAAGGCAGACAAGGCCCGCAAGAAGCTCTTGTCGTAAGTGTCCAAATAACATTACCCAGTGTGCACCACATCAATACACTGACCAGTTGCTTCATATCAAATCGTTTGAATTGAGTGGAAAATTAGTGGAATATTCTATGGCAATTAGCTGTAAATGTGATGAAACATAGTCTGACTCTGCTGTAAAGAGCAGTGCTAATCTGTGTGTCCCTTCATCCTCAGTGATCAGGCGGAGGCTCGTCGTACGAAGACCCGTGAGGCACGTAAACGTCGTGAGGAGAGGCAGCAGGCTAAGAAAGAGGAAATCATTAAAAGTCTTTCCAAGGAAGAAGAGACCAAGAAATAAGATCGTCGTCTTTTCCTGCCCCAAATGTTCTTCAGCTCACCTAAGTGATAATAAATACACTTTGCTACAGCTCTTTGGTCTCCAGAGTGTTTATGGATGTATATGCAGACAAGGGGGGTCATTTTGAGGGTCAACACAGGACATGAAGCTTTAGAAATTATTCTTACACTGTCAAAGGAACACAATTTCCAAATGGCACAAATTTTTTCAGAATTGTTACAGCACATTTCACAAAGCACTGCTGCCCCTGAGAGTTTAACCTTTTTCAGATTAATCAACTTGGTATGCTACCAGCATAAGATATTACTGCATCAGTCTAAAAAGCTCTGAACACCAACAGAATGGCATTGATCATTTAAAAAAGGTAGGCTGAAAATACCAGGAGGTCATGACCATTTTAAAGAATAACGGAACTAAACCAATTGTCAAGAATTTAAGTGCCTTATTAATCTGAGTCAAGCAAATCTCTGAAAATAGCAGTATAAATGCTGCTCAAGGAAACCAGTACAGTGTTGATTTCAGTGTTAAGTGTCTTTGCTCCCTCTTCCAGTGAGCTGTAGGGCACCTCTTTTTGTTTCTGGTATTTTGCTTTCATCCTGCAGAAACAGCAATACATGGTTATGTTGAAGTAGGCAGTTATATTTGGAAATTAAATAGTAATGACAGTGAACTAATAAAACAGATGCCTAATAAAAACGATGCAAAGATTTTAATACAGATCAAGCACTGTACAGTATAATTTAAATCAAAGTGAAATGCTAAATGTAAAATGAACGTATTAAATGAAACCGATGTATTGTTGTAGATTAATAGTGTGGGCCAAGTGAGGGCTGCTCGAGCAGGGCCAGTGCTAAAGGACCAATGTTTTGCCCAGGAGCAAATTTTCAGGGGCCCTTAGGCTAGCCCTAAGTGGGCTCGTAAAGGGCCAGTGCAGGCTTGTTTGCAGGGGTTTCAACAGACAACATTTGTTTTAGTGACATTTTGTATTTCTTCTGAGATTTCATGAAAATATGAGTACATGTGGGCAGAATGTGATATATTTTTACTAATGGTGCAAATAGTGTTGTGGGTTTTAAGAGAAACAGTTTCTGTAAATATAAGCTTACAACAAATACTAAAAGAAAACTCAAAAATAATGCCACAGTGGATAATAGTTCAAAACTATGTAGAGCAGTATCAAGAGGAATTATTCATATTTACGGATGGATCAAAGCAGCCGGAAACAGGCCGTACTGGTGCAGCATTTTTTATTCCTCGGTATGAAGTAATAGTCAAAAAGAGGACAACAGACTACCTGTCAGTTTACACTGTGGAGTTAGTAGCAATTTTACTGGCATTAGGGTGGGTGGAAGAAAATAATCAGAATCAAGGTGTCGTTATAGCCTCGGACAGTTTATCAGCATTATTAAGCATTCAATCTGGGAGAGCGTCATGTAGACAAGACCTCATATATCAAATACTCCACTTGCTTCTCACACTTCATGATAAGGGAATGGCTGTCTCCTTCCTTTGGGTTCCTGCCCATGTAGGGGTGGAAGGAAATGAAGTTGTGGATATGCTAGCAAAAAACTCTACAAAGCCTGAAACAGTAGATGTACACATACCAATAAGTAGAGCAGAGGTCAAAACCATCATAAATCAACATTCACTTAAAATATGGCAGGAATATTGGAACACAGCGGATACAGGACATCATTTATACAGTATACAAAATCAAGTAGTCACAAGCATGAGGAAGGGCAGAAGCCCAAGGGAGGAGATGTTAGTCTCACGTCTTAGAATGTGGCACACTGGTTTAAAGACAACATTGCACAGAATAGGAAAACATACCACTGGATTATGCACTTATTGTAATGTACAAAAGACAGTGAAGCATATACTGTTAGACTGCAAAAAATATGAAGAAGATAGGGCAGAATTAAAGGCACAAATGGATGAACAAAGCATGACACTTGAACATTTATTAGGGAAAACATCTGGGAGAATATGCAATTTATTAATGCTATTTTTGAAAAACACTGGGTTAAGTGAAAGAATTTAATAGGGAAATTTTGTTTATTTTATTTTATTTTATTTATTTATTTTATTTTATTTTTTTCTTCCACTCCTTTGATGTCAGTCTAATGCCCACACTCCAGTCTAGTAGGTGGCGGTAATGCACCTTTGAGATGAGTTGCCAACCGCCATTAAACCTGAAAGAAGAAGAAGAAGAGAAACAGTTCAGGCAGGCAGTAACATTTCACCACATCAAACATCATGAGTGTCTATGTGTTTTCATGAGCATCGTGTTACTTTTCAGTTCCCCATGTTATTCTTAGGATTACCCATTTTATGCTTCCTCTTTTACTGTAAACACACTAATACACAAAAAATCATGCTGGAACACTGAAATATGCCTCATAACCAACACTAAAAATATAACAGTGCCTGCTTATCAGCTGGCTTACCTTCATTCATATTTACTGGAAGAGTCATATTTGTCTGACCGAGTTCATTTCTGCTGACACACTAGAGAACCGATTCTGGTAAGGTCCTCAACAGTCATTGTGAAGGTACTTTTTACAGTGATGTGACAGTCCGATGCTCTGACCATGTTCAAATCAGCATTGTTTTGTAGAGGCCAGTGAATATCAGGCAAAGGCACTCCCTGACTGACACACACACAAGTGAGCTGATCCTGTTGCAGAGAGCATGCGGAGCTGTTCAGTATCTGAGGATGAGCTGCATGATACACAATCGTGAAACATTATCAGCGAGAGAGTGTTATCAAAAGCTTTTCAATGATAAATGAATCAAGATGTGAAATGTAACTGCACTCACAGTGAACCTTCAAAGTCATGGTGGCACTGGCACTCCGATTTCTTCCAAATGTAGCTTCACATGTGATCTCTGCTTGATGATCTTCAGGGACAGGCATGTAAAGGAGCTGTTGGCTGAATATCAAATGCGTGTTCATTTTCCTTGGATATCTGATATCATAAAGCTTCTTTGAGCTGAGTCCCTTCCAGGTTAAATTTGGATCACTACCGAGGCAGAGATCTGGAAGTGTGCAAGTTATAAAAGCCTGCTTTCCAGCTACAAGGACCTCAGTGTTTAGACTGATGTTCAGTTTTGCTGAAAAAATAAGAAGAGCTAACTGTGTTATTTACCTGAATGCAGACACTCACTTACATTTCAACATTACAACTAAATAGCTGAAACATTTATAAAAATGTCCATTAATAAAGTGGTCAAGAATGTGACAAATTATTCTAGTCGACACTGATGGCAGTCAGATAGCATATAGTTTTACCAAATTAGTTGTTAATTCTCCATTGGAGTTTAAATGATATGCTGCTTTAAGTCAAACATACGTACCAGTAGAATAAGACACTCTGACCCTCTCATCATAAATGTGTGTTTCATTTGTTCTCCATTTTAACATGAGCCCGTACTCTTCGATTCTTTCGTTCCCACTGAAATCCCACAGAATAACACTGCATTCATTTTCAGGGGAAAGTAGTGGCCACATCAGTTTGTCCTTTTCCTCCACCATTGGTGGGCTGAGGGGGAACTCAGGGCTGCCTCTGAACCAGATATTTTGGGCAGAATACACTCTCACTGGAGTAGTAAATGCACAGGGGATCTGCCCGCCATGGCAGTGATGAGGTTCTTTTCCAGTCGCAATTCAAAGTCATAATCACCTGCATAAAACAATTATCATAGCAAAACAGAAATCATGAGAGATCATGACTACATTGTGAATCATGGTTTCTCATTGAATGACTGCTTGATCTCACCTCCTGGAGCGAGCGACCTGTTACTTGATCCAATCCACAGGTGTAGAACAAAGAGCAAAACCAGACACGTCTCATGCTGAACACTTTGTAACTTGTTTTTTTTTTTTTTTTTAAAGAACAGTATTATGAGATTGTGTACTTAAGAAGAAATTCTAAGGTTGCGTTGATCTTGATCTCCCCACACTGAACCTGGATATTCCTCTTTCAGTGCTTCTTGATGCTAGATTTCAGTTTGGTGTGCTGGAGATCTACTTATGTATGTGTGCATGTGTTTTTGAAGGAAGAGCTACAGAGACCAGTTAATAAATAACTGTGCTTGTGTGCATTTATTTTTATCTGGTACATACAACAAGAAATCAATAATGTTGGAGTTAGAACCATACATTTGTGGTAAATGCCTTAAATCAATGGTCACCATCCCGTTAAACGTGATTGACTAGTAGATCTTTATCACTGTTCCAGTAGCTCCCGAAAATAACAGTACAAAAATACATTTAATTTCTGCAGTCTTTGTACTGTATTTTTTGTACTTATTTTTCTGTTATTTTCGGGAGCTAGTGGGACAGTGATAAACAAACATACACTATGCCCTGTAAACAGTCCAGTGCCAGAGACACTGAAGACAGACACAAAGAGGAGAAAATACTGTAGGCAGAGCAAGCTCACTGTTCACCACAGGAAGAAATATAAACACTAAATTGAGGGGTTAAATGAATGTGTCAGCGAGAGGAACTGACTATCTTCCGAAAAATAGTGTTGTATAAAGTACTGTTTATAAGCGTAGCGTTGCTTTGTTTACAGTGTAGCGTCTGGACCAATCAAACACACAATATATATTTTGTTTTTATATTTAACAAATACTCTGTAACCCCCCTTCAGTTAACAAGCCATACGAGGACCCATGAACCCTTCCCCCCGGAATGCGTAACACCCCAGGAAGCCGAAACAGGCCCCTTTGTTGCATGGCAACCAACGCTGATATCACTGGGTTTATTGGCCAAAAGTATCTAAAGCAGGGAAAATCCCTGCATGTCCCAGGACAAACGCACAGTAGAAATGGACTTTTCTACTAATTAATTCATAGGAAAACCTTTCTTTGAATGAACACATATTCTTCAGGCCATTGTGTATATTATTGCTGTTTTGTATTAATCTGTTGTATTATAGACCATTTTTATTCATGCTTACGATAAACCACTCATTCATATAAGTAACTCTACCATGTCTAGTATCTATGAATTCGTATTCGGATGACCTAATTGAGAATGTATATTGTATGTTTACACCTACGCAACATATTAGTGTTCTAAGAGTCTTTAATAATTGTTACACAAGCTTCATACCACAAATTACCATGCTTTCCAACAAAGGGCCATAAAAACCGCC